TTTGTAGCAGGCTACATTACTACGCCTGCCCCACTCATGGTATAAAATCAATTAAAACGTAGTCAATATGGCATCTTTAGATAGTATTTATTAATGAGAGTATTAATGCTCGAGATTGCATCATTCATTTAGTTATTGTGGCTTTTACAAGCATGTAGAACCAGACTTGTTAATGCTTTGATGTGACGGATCACCAGTAGGGAATCCTCTCAAATTTTTGCCAAAAAAATCACTTTTTAAGCCTTCTGTGGTCATATAAATTAATTTTTAAATTGACAGATTAAAATTCGGTACATGCGGCAGAGCAATGAAAAAAACTACTTGCTTTGGCGGCTTCTTCACGGCCTAGTTTTTCTTCAAGTCTCCTGCGACGCTCTTCAGCAAGTTCATTAAGACGAACACGACTCTCTTCATGTTTGGTCAAAATGCTGTATTGTTTCTGTTCGGCTTCTAGGGTCTTTTTGGATAAGTAGTGGGAGAGGGATAAATAGCGAGCGGTGAAAGGAAGAGGAATACAGATGATTTTTTTTTAAAGTCAAATAAAATACAGAGTACGGGAAAATGTTAATGAGTAAGATGGACACACGATTATCAAAATAATCCTATTTTGTATCACCATAAAAATTGGGGAAAGATGTGATTTAGCTGATGAGCTTGTAATCCTATCGAATGATAGGAGTGATTAGAATAATGAACTCTAGTCAAGATATGAAGAGAGGCCACTGACATCCTTGGGGAGAAAATTCTAATGAACAGGAGATTGGAGGAAGGTAGAGTTAGCGATAACTTTGCCTACTGCTTAAGCAAACTCAAGGAAAACAAGAATACAGCAAGGCCAACAAAAAGGAGACGCTTGGATCAAGCATCAATCACTAAAATGAGATGGGGTCGAAGTGAATAGTAGATGTGATGAGGACACGATAAATTTGCCAAAAAGGGTACACAATTTAACGAGTGAAATGTAAACAAGTCACAAGTTGTGAGAGTTGAATAAGGGGGTAAAGAGTAGATAGATTGGCCAGGAAAGAAAGATGAGTGATGGTTTTACTGTTTTAGGCAGAATGTTGGTCGAGGGATTGACTTCACTTGTATCTTTGAAGAGTTCGTAGCTTGATGCAAAGAATGGCAAGACTCACTGATGATGCCGATTACGATGCCGGCGAAACGTCTGAGAATGTACCAAGTCTGATGCTGGGAATTATGATAACCACTATGACAGAGGACTTCGGACTATATGCGTTCTACTAAGTCACCCTGACAACAATACTAAGTTGGGACGAGGTCAACCCAATTCTAGTCGAGATAACTTAGATTTAAGCGGTTAGTTTAAAGTCATTATGTGGTGGATTTTGTAAAAACTTGTTTCCGTTTTAATTTTTTGGAATTAATATCTTTATTCGTAGTAAACGGAAATTATGCCAAATATTCTCTTGGTGGATGAAGTCAAAACAAAAAATGTGATGTGGATGATAATAGTAGGAAAAACATTGATAAATATGAGGCGAAATCTTTGCCGACGAAATTGTAATAAAAGCTGTATATTTCTCATTACTAGTGTCGCCCAAGTTATGTCTGTAGTGGCTTTACTCCACAACCAGTTTGGCTACATTTCACGGTCATCTCTACACTCATGCATCACCAAGCGTAGCATGGCCACTAGCCCGACCACGGGGACTAGACGAATGTAATCACCACATCGAGCCTCTCCTTTAAGCCAATCAGAAGATGGCACTAAAATTACACAAGAGTATTTTAAGTCGGAAACTAGCTTAACTGTGATCTGTGCCCCCCATTGCCCCGCCTTGCGCCATCGTCATTCTTTGTGACCAAAAGCTGCCCTCTTGCATCAACACCACACTCCAATATCGTCTGAGTTTTTTCCACATCGAGATCCTCGCTTGTAACTTTCTTTCTTATATACAACGCTGTGGTCGTTTATACGGTAGCGAGAAACCGAGCACATATCTATAGTGAATATTGCGCAGATTCACTAAATGTCAAAATAAATTAAAGGATTGTTTTATGAGTGAAATTTGATAAATAATATACCGAGAACCTAATTATGTGCAATTACCTCTTCTACACATAAATGATACAAAAGTGGAAAGTGTTTTAACCATTTAAGTGACACGCCTGAGATCTTATAGAATAGAAATGTTGTTGGGGATAGATAAAGATGATATTTTTTTAAAAAGCCGAGGAGACTGAAAGACACTTTAAATAAAGTGAACTACGCAAATAAGAAGCATATGAAAATCAAAAATAAATATTAGGAAATTTAGTAGCTGTTCGGCTTTGTTTTTTGCAGCCTAATGAGGAAGTGTCATTTGGACGCAATTAATAAAAAATACTTTATCACGCCACTTGCTGGAGATATTGGAGCGAAAAGAGGATATTACGGTGGTAGAACGGATACGGAAGTAGTGGCTAACACGACTGATGAACCTGACAGTAAGGACAACATTCTACATTTAACGGCAGTATCTACGAGCACATATTTGTACTGCCGATGGGATCTCCACTGTCACCTCTTTTGGTAAATGTGTACATTGGCGAATTGAAAATGGAGTTCAAGAAGTCACCACTGCAACCAAGAGTGCTTATGCGATACCTGGATGGCTAATTTGCACTTTGGGTCAAATAATAAGGAAAATTTAAATGAATTCTTCAATTTTATTAACCAACTTGATGAACGAATTAAATTCATGATGATGGAGAATGTACGACTACCCTTCCTGGATAATGAAGTAATGCGCTCCAACAGTACACTTATGAGGAGACCATTCATAACCAATTTATATGCGGGAATAATCCTTAATTTTCAGTCTTACTATAACTACCGACTGAAGATCGGAATACTGAGGAGTTTGATCATTCGAAGGTTAAAACTAACGGGCGGACGAGGAGTTGGGCAAGCTGACTCGAATTTACCTTAGTAACGCGTACCCTAGAGAATTTATAGAAAGAAATATAGGTATCATAAAGAGATTATATGAAAATAAGTTCAGGAATCAGGACCACCAAAAGTTGAAATACCTGCTCTCATGTAAACTGAGCCAAAAATTGTAGGAAAAGACAACATTTTTCACCAGTGTGCTGACGCAACACGAGCAGATTGACAAATTGGATTGCGTAGGGGTTTATCGCATCAAATGCGGCAACTGCGAGTAGAAGCATATTGGTGAAAGAGGAAGAAAAATCGGCCTACGAATCAAGGAACATCAGAGACGCTGTAGAAACATGGATACGGAAAGATCCGAAATAGCGGATCACATTAAACGAACAGGATACGAAATCGACATATAGGCTGGTGCATATGGTGAAAATAAGAGAAAGCGCAATCGATATACTGACTGAAAGAAATTTAATGAACAGGAGACTTGAATAAGGCAGGATCAGCGAAAACTTTGCATATTACCTAAGCAAACTAAAAGGTCAGGCAACGGTAAGATCAGCAAAATGACGACTTGATCAAGGTGACATCTTTGATTTTAGGAAAATAAATCACAAGCAGACCAGAAAGAAAGAATCGGAAACCAAGAGGAGATGTCTTCAATTAGCCTAATCAAAACAAATACAACCACATTATTTGTGGGTTGACGCACAAGAGACTAGGGCATAGGAAGTCATAGACTTGGCATTATGGATAGAAACACGGTAAAGCGGCGGAGACTAGAGCTAGTTGACTAACATTAGACATGTTTGATCATAGACTTAGTTCATGAAGCAAAGGGTTGGCTATGAGAATTCCTCTGGATCTATAGCCTCAGGTGAGTCTCTCATCCAGCTTGAGAATCCAGACTTTGTAGGCTTACTCAGCGAGGAGGGAGTATACATGGCATCAAAGGTCTGAGGCAGTGTAGGAAACAACGCTTCGAGTAGCACAGATATGGTAGCAGGAGTCAAGTAGAATACCTGAACCAGGGAGATAGGATGCGGATCCTACGGGGCAAGAGGGAGACTCCGATAGGACTTATGCGAAGAGGATTGCGGAAAAATATGGCCGACTCACACCAATATTCTCAGCACAAAGGTGGTGGGTAAGAGAGCCAGCGTGGAGTGTTAAGAAGTCTCAGGAAATCCGCTCTAATGGGCACACCATACCACATTTAAATAAGCAATTAAGAAATTTTGATGGTTAAGAGGTGATACGATGATATAGAATAGGTGAATACCCCACTACAGGAGGGATGCTTTAACTGATTAACAGACAATTGGTCAAAGTATCGACTTCCCTTGTCTCTTTGACAAGTTGTAGAGTGTTGCTAAGACTGGCAAGGCTCACTGACTATGTCGGCGAAAAGTTTGGGAATATACCAAGTCTACGGTCCGACCCTGGAAATTATCATGCATAATATGGACTCCGGACTAGGTGTGCTCCTCTAGGCCTTCCTGTCAATACAACACCATCTTGGTCTTCACACCTTCGATTAATGAATTAATTTTAATAAAAGATAGAATAACTGTATCACTTGAATGAAGGCAATCTCTTTGCCCTTTGTTTCTTCGTCATGAGCTTTAGAGACACGCCTGCGCAGTTCCGCCTGCCGCTTGACTTCAGCTGCAAGAAGACGACGATCGAGGCAGGCACGACGTTGATGCAATAACATGCGCTTGTGAAGATGCACCTCTGCTACCTGGGTGTGGGTAAGCAGGAAGTTGAAAAGTATGAGCCAAGCAAGTAGATGTGAGTAGTTAGAAGATAATTAATTTTATCATTGGCGGAAGTATGCAGACAAAGAGAGTCAGCTAAATGTTAATGTCAATGTTATGGCGACTAATATCTGAAATTAAATAATGTATTTATATAAATAAATATTGAGATAAAGAATAGTGAATAGAAGATTGAGCCAAAAATATACAATTTGAGGCGAAGTAAGCAGAATAACGTGCAGTAGCTGCCACCCTCTCCAAAAAAACAACAAAAGAGATGAACGAGAAGAGAGGTACAAAAATTAAATTAAAAATTATCTTTCGGCTTACCTTTTTGGTAAGCTCGCGAACTCGTTTAGATCGCTCAAGCAGATGACGCTGGCGAAGTGATCTTGCACGTGCCTGTTTATCTTCCAACTGTTGCATGGAATGTGCAGATCTAAAATGAAAAAAATAAGCAAAGGAATTGATCCTTGATAAAACTGAATCCCCCAGCACTATAGAGATAAATAGTACTCCGGGTACAAAATAATTTCTTTCCAAGTAACCAAACTGAACTCTGTATGCTGCCGACACATTTCGCCCCAAAGCGTTTCGCTTTTAAAACAATATGCATGTTCCTAAGCCTAAATAAAAATTTTGACAAAATAAAACTGTCAAGAAAATATATGGAAAAGAAATAAAAGCATAACAAAAAGGTAAAGAAT